AACCATGCTCAGTGGAGGCCCCTTTGGGATTACTGGTGTCTGACGCGAGTAGTCGTATTGACATCGCTTTTTCCGACCCAGGAGTCCGTGAAGCTGAGGACCTTTAGTTACAATTAACCCCTCTTTGCCTTTTTAGGACGTAGTGCAATGATTATTCAGGTGTAGACCTGTGATGGTTGTCATGCGATACTACACTCATACGAGTTTATCTTGAGAATATTATTAGCCCACGAATAGTCGCGTAAGCTGATAATATCTGAAAGATTTATTGATGACTTTAGGAACTTCGTTAGAACCAATTATGCAGGTGCTTTACCCCTAGTATACACCCTGTGGTTGGTTCTTTACCCAGACTTCATGTTGTAATCTTGAACCTGTGACCCTGCTATGTGTGATTTGTATCCTGTCTTGCATCGCATTGCATATCATTTGCATCTTTTGCATGATCCATTGCATATCATCTGTCTGCCCAGCCACTCATTTCCAGCTGTCTCTATCTTCCAGTGTACCTGTTAGTTGTCAATATGATTCCTTGACACCGATACTGAACTAGAGCTAACTACAGACGCATGATGTCAGAGCAAGAAGTACATAATGCATAAATATGAATGAATATCGATGATTTGAAATCAGGCATGACCAAGCTCACCGAGATGCTCTAAGTCCTGATTGCTAGAGGAGAGGAGCCTCAAAGGATTGTCATTTAGGAAGTTTCAAACGCTGATCCTTCACCTGTTCAAATGTCACCTTCAACTTGGACAGAGTTTGGTTTACCTCACAACTTGGACAGACTTTCAGACCAGTTTTTTAAGCTCATGTTTTCACTGAGCTCAGACCTGTGGTCCGCACTATTACCCATACTGTCCGAGCTCCCTTTGAGACCCTCTCTATGAGTATAGTGCTTCCGGTGCTCAAGGTGAAGATCATGAAGATTTTTTTGAGCATGAGGTTATCCGTGAACAATTTGAGATCATAGATAAGAGACTCAAAGTCGTTGAGGGTACTGAATTCTTCAATGTGGATGCAGACAACATGTGCTTAGTTTCTGGACTTGTTATGCCTGCTAAGTTCAAAACTCCCGAGTTCGTAAAGTACAAGGGTCACTCTTGTCCAATGGCTCATTTAGTCATGTACTTTCGAAGGATGACAGCTTATACTAACAATCAGAAGTTTCTCATCCACTGCTTTCAGGACAGTTTGAGTGGCGCCTCCCTTAAGTGGTATATGAACTTAGAACAAAACAATATCCACTACTTCTAAGATCTTGCCAATGCTTTTATGAAACAGTACAAATACAATCTTGACATGGCTCTGGATCATCGCCAACTCCAGAATATGTCTCAGAATGAGAGAGTCGTTCAAGGAATATGCTTAGCGGTGGAGAGAGTTGGCTTCCCAAGTTGAACCCCTTTAGCGGAGAAGGAGATGACTAGAATGTTCATGGACACCCTGTCCCCTTTCTATTAGAAGATGATTGGGAATGTCTCCTCAAACTTTATAGATCTAGTAACTATTGGCCATAGATTGGAAGAAGGTATAAAGAATGTCAAAGTGTCTAAGGTTTATGAATCCTCCAATATTGTGAAGAAATCCTTTGGGACCTTCCATAAGAAGAAAGAAGATCAGACCAACACTGTCGTGACTGAAGTGAGGAGACCTCGTCCCTAACCTCGGTATAATCACCCTACTATTACTTCCATTACTCCTGTTGTTGCTGCTCAACGACCAGCACAAGTTCCTCAACGTCCAATTGTTAGACAGAACCAGTATCGAAATAGGAATCAATTTGATCCTATTTCCATGACATATACAAAACTTTATCCTAACCTAGTTCAACAAGGGTCGATCACTACAAAGACTTTGCAACCTCCTCCTAATCCTCTTCCAGATGGATTTAGATCTGATCTCCACTGTGCATTCCATGATGGTGCCCTGGGCCACGGCTTGGAGAATTGTTATGCATTGAAAGCCATAGTGCGTGATTTGGTTAAAAATGGAATTCTTGATTTTAAGGATAGCCATCCAAATGTCTATAACAATCCCTTGTCAGCGCATCAAAAGTGAAGCTTTAGTCGACTTCAGCAGACTATCTTTCTAAAAGCCAATGTTTCAGACACGACGACTCATCTTTGTTACTGATTAGTCACTAGGCCTTCTGTTTCTCGTTGTTTGTACTTTCCTTCATTTTGCATAAGCTTTTTGCTTTTAATTAGTGTTTGTACTTCGTATTAATGAAATGAGCATGCAACTTTTGATTTCAATTTATTTTGTTTATTATTTGCACTTTTATACTTTATCTTTCAAATATTTACTTCTTGTCCAAACTTTTGATTATGCAAATATTTGAGGGAGGATGACGAAAACATTGTACCCATAACTGATGTTGGTACGCTTTCAATCAAAATTTGTTGATGATGTAAGGCATTGTTTCAATCCCCCAAACACTGGAGAATTAAGGAAGTTATTCCCTTGTCAATCCCTTTGAGCCTAGAAGTAGGAGTTGTCTTTTTTAGAAATAACCCACAATCTTAATTTGGGGAAGGGTAGTTCTCAGTTAAGTTGGTTGTGTGTTCATGCAAGACACATGTCATATAAAGGTTGCATCCATAATTATCCCTTCACACAACAAGCAAGTGTTGAAGATGTTTTTCAAGATAAAAGCTGATGATGGTTCACCGTAATCATTAAGGCAGAAAGTCACCCTCTTTCTCCAAAAAAATAAAATAAAAATAAAGATATAAAAAAGCTTACTAAGTCAAAACCTATGAAGGAGACTTATGCAAAACTGGGGCATCCCGCTGACTATAATCTTCACAAGAAACAGTTCAGGCAAAAGTTAGGGATAATAAAAAGAGGAGATCTTCAAATCCTTATTATGAAAGTCCTCAATGAAAAACCAAATGTTGTAAAGAAGCAGTGACTATCTTTTCAAAAGTCCCTTGACTTCTGAACCATCATCATCACTATCATCATTTCAATTTCCAACCTGTGGGAACCTGAGCGCACAGTGTGAATTAATTGAGCGTAGGACTGAAGATCATCACGTAGATTGGGTGGGCACAAATAAATTTTGAGCTTTTATCCTTTATTTCTTAAACAGTGAATCAGGCCACATTACAACCCTTAAAAGACCTAACTGAAGCAAGGTTATTTTGAAAGCATACTACAACAAGGTTGCGTAAGCTGACATTAAAAGATATTTGCAGATAATTTGTTTTGACATTACCACTTTTGCTTTACTTTCCACTTTGAGTATCTTGAACCATCGTGTTCTGACCAATGACTCATATGTTTTGCATCTTTCCAAAAAATGATTTTGTTTCAAAGGTTGCATGAACTTTGTATTACCGTGTTTGTATGAACACTTTTGTTTGTAAATGATAGACCCAAAATATACTGTTTATTCGACTCGATTTGCGCATGTTATTTAGGATTTTATTTCCGTTTTTTTGTATTATGCCTTTGTTTTGTTTCTTTTTCAGGTTTTTGTATAGAAAAACGAGCTAAAAGACCAACATTCTGAGGAATTGTACACATGGCTTCCACCATGGCGGGTGCCATAGGAGATGCCACACATTGGATAGAAGACAACTGCTGACAACTGCCACGTCTCCCACTCATTTCCACCCTAGTTCATGTGGCGGGCGCCACCTTCACATTCTCGTTTCCCTCCCAAAAGGAGTTGGGGGGCATTCTTGTCCTTACCTGTACTTTCCTACCACTATAAATAGAGGAGTTTTGTTTCATTTCTAATCATCCAAGTTTAGTTACAGAACTCAAGCCATAAATTTCATCTATTGTAAAGTGATAAACTTCTCACATCGAGGGGTTATCACACTGTCTAATCTAGTCTGTAATCTGATGTGGAATGTAACTCATGCAGTAGAGGTATGGTGTCCATTGATCATATCTGATAGATAGTGTAATCTACGTAGTGAAGGTCTAGTGTCCATTGACAATACCTGATGGATGGTGAAATTCGTGTATGAATGTCTAATATTTATTGACCATATTCGGTAGATGGTGAGGTTTGTGCAATGGAGGTCTGGTATTCCATTCATCATATCTGACAGATAAATTAGTAGATCTTTGTGATCGATTTTGGGATAATCACCTTTGTGTTACATGACAAGTATAAGAATAGTGATTTGTTGAGTTATGTGAAATCATGTTATGTGTTTCCATACGAAGCGTAAAATCCCCTTGAACACTTAAGTCCTTATTAAATTTGTGTGAGTGATACACAAAGTAACGTAAGGTTGAAAGAGTTAAGTTAAGAAATCGATAATAGTCCCTTTAGAACCGAATGAGCCCATAAGATGGAGAAACTCACTAAGGTTATTATCTCATCCTATTACGTTGTTGAAATTTCAGGTAACTCAAGGCATGACAGAGGCGAACGGAAAGTTGTGCGAAGAAGTCTTGAAGATCTTGATGTTTCAAGGTGGTTCCGTTATGTATATCTTAGTATTTTGATTAGGCACTCTTTTACATCATGTGTCATATTATGTATTGTATGTATCTCGGACATCAGACATGTATGTAAATGTTGTCGTTAGACACTTATGTTATATCAATGTCAATTAACACTTGTACGATATTATTTTAGATTTATATTATACGGGGTGTTACAAAAGATAACCATAAATGTGATGAAATGAAGCCTAAGGGCTCTGCATAATAGGAACCATATATAAAGTGATAGTATTTTGCTCTTTTAGCCTAACTTGGTGAATAATTCAACATACATGATATCAGAAGAATTCCTTCCATGAGTGAGGATGCTTCAAACGTCAAAGTTGGTCATAGTTGTTCTGATCATCAATGGAAATAGTTCGGCTTACATATATGCTAAAAGCAAAAGAAAAATCAAATTGATAAAACTTGTGTGATTATTAGCCTTGTGAGGCATTACATTACAAGCACTGCAATTAGCATAACTTCAAATAGAATTAAAGTCCTTACTACATTAGCAAGTTTTAGAGTAAACAATCCAAAATCTAAGCATATCTCCTTGGCTGCCAACTAGCAGGACCACCTGCCATAGCTTCTAGAGAAACCGGTTTCATAATACAATATCCATTGTTAGAGCAAATACCAGACCTATTTCTTCTTCTAACAATATGATCACGATAACCCTGCATGTCCATAGCTAATTTTCTCTCCAAATCATGCCTCTCAAATGATCTCCTCCTTATATTTTGTCTCCTTAAACCAACACTACTACTTATCTTGTCTTTGTTGTCACATCTTTTTCTACTTACTGGCACTGGAATAGCTTCCAAACCCATTAACTTTGCCACAACCCCTGGTTTACACCAAACTACACTCTCCCCTGCAATTGTTGTGGGAAAACACACAACCTTTTCATCAACCTTTGGTTCTAAACTTCTCTCACTACAAACTGATCTTCTTCCTTCTATCGTTCCAAAAGATGACCTATACATGGAATCTCTTCCATCAAGTGAAAACCTTGGGTATTGATTCAAAGCATTCCTTGCAGATCTTAAGATGTCAGAGTTGTTCACACTTGACATTCTTCCCCTTATTCCACTATATTCATTGAGTTTTTCTTTCCTTGCCATCTCTTCCTCCATTTCTAATTGTAGTATAAGGTCTTCTAGTGTTGGTGTGCTTTGCTTTGAATTTGAAGTCTCACATTGTAAAAAAGGGGAGCTTACCTTGCTAGTTGTGATGTCAACTTGGCTATGGTTGCCTACACCATTGCCGATAGTACTATTTTGTTGGTTGAGAGTTGAGGTTGACACATCAGTGTTGCAAAAAGTTCTTATGCCTTTCTTCATCTTGGCTCCCAAAGAGTTCTTGAGTAGAAAGAATGGCATGTCCTTTATTATTATTTTTGTTATCAGTATGTGAGGTTTATAGAGAGAAAAGTAAGGAGATAAGGAGCATCTGCATGGATATTATGAAAATGGGGATTTGAGTCTTCTTTAGTAAAGAGGAGAACTTGATAGACAAAGGCAATGAAACGTGAATAGATTGAATAGGAGCGGTTTGCATGGTGTGGTAGTAATGGAGCATTTTAGGAAAGTGGAATTAGATGAGCCTTAATAGCTGTCACATGATGGATAAGGAAGACTTTCACAAGTATTTCATTTCTTTGCTGCAAAGTTGTTTGCGGTGTTAATAGCAGAGTAAGTAAAAAGACACCTAATGGACTTTAAGTTCTATTTTGGTTGGGAGAAATCAAGACCATTTATTAGAGTCACGGTGGTAGAATGCATGAAAAATAATACTGTAGACTTACATCAGAATTCCGTCTTTGCATTGCATTTTTGCATGCATTAGTTAGAACAATACTACTTAATTCTTGACACCATTGCCGGTTACCACAGCCTTGCCTTCTAATATATCATCCCCAGTTTTCAGTAGCAGCTCTATCCGTAGCCCCAAACACTCAAGAGGACGTTTGTTTCAAGGATTTATAAATGATTCTAAGAAATAAGTCATCCAAGATTAAGAATATTAAAATTTAATTCCTAGGTTTTTTCTTTAAAATGCGTTCTTGATTTCATATTCGTAAGCATATTGGTAGTTATCTTTATTTTTTCAAAACAGCTATATTAAAAAAATCATGGGAATGTACATCCTCACCTTTTGACATAAGAATAAAACCATGAGAATATGGACATTATTGAAGATTATTTTATTCCTAAAAATTGTAGTTTTTAGACTTAAAGAAACCCCCCTAGTCATCAACAAAATTACCATTTCAAACAATAAGAAACAAAGACAAAATACCTTCTCCTTTTAACAACACTTCCTTTTAATCAATCAAACATGACTACATAGACATCATGCCGTATACACATTCAAAGTGGACTAAAGAAGAGGAAGAGTGTGGAACTGCAAAGAATCATATATCATACAATCATAGCGGTGTGCTCCTGGTGAATAACTTTTACTTCCTTTGGCATAGGATAAGGTCTTATAACTATTAATAAAGTCTGACTTGGAATTTGATTTTAAAAGTATGCTAACCAAATTTGTATAAATATAAGCCAATTACGGTGGCATTTGAAGATTACTAAACCAGTAAACACATTTCAGGAGATAAACACGTTTTCCCTGAGAATATAAGAAACCCGGGGTTTGGTAAATGCACACCTGTGGTTCTAATTTACTGTGTGCTTCACAATTAGAATTCATCCCCTCTTTCTGTTTGTTACTCAGGGGAAAGTATTAAAATAAAGAATGTAATAAAACTGAGATATATTTATAGCTCTGTATAATTGAGAGCTTGGCAAAGAAGGATTTAGGTGACTGTTCATCATTCAGCTTAACTCAACTGTGTCTGAATTCTGCAACTTCCTCTTGTAAGCCATGACCTGTTAATAACCGGGAGAAAAGGTCAGATAACAAGAGAGCAGACACCAGCACTGTAACAACGGGAAGAAAGAGGAAAATGAAAAGATATTTGTGTATATGAACATAATTAATTTTGAGAGTTTACCAGATAACCATGGCTGGTATTTTCATAAGTTCCCAGCAATTCAGCCAATGTTTCTTGGTCTTCTAGAATGCGTAAATTATCTGTGTTTGGATCAATGGTTCTTTCACCTTCAAAGCTAGATCGTGGCTTGAGTATCAACCACAATTCAACTTCATCCTCAGGCATGGCAGTTTCATTTGCAACATGCTGTGGATTGAAAAACAGTCATGCTTAATAAGAAATAGACTAGATAGAAATGTCAGATCGAGGAAAGAGAGGACAACCTTGCGCAGTATCTTGACTGACATGGTAGGCTTGCAAGTAAGGCATGGATCCTCCAAACATGGTATTCTTTGCTCATCCAACGAGACAAGCATGAGAAAGGTAGGAAGCTGAAATAATTTACACAAAATCAATGATCCTATCAATGTTCAGTACGAGCACTAAAGCAAACATGATAAACACAACGCAACACATACAAAATTACAATAACATGGAATTAGCAAACATTTAGATGAATCTAGAGTACAGGTCTAAATGTTAGTACATGTCTCAATTCTCAAATAGGTTGAGCAACCTTGAAGGCCAGAGGTTCTCACAATTTTTAGTCCACTAGGTTTTTAGACAACCACTACTAAGAAAAAAAACAACTAAGATTGGCAAAGATGATTGAACCTTCTACTCACACTCACTGTAACTTGGTTAAAGTCCAGAATTCTCTAGTTGGTAGCCTGCACGTAAATTCTATTGTAAATTCTTATCGAGGTCAGTAGTTCTAGTTGATCTTGTACGAGGCTATGTTTCCTCTAATCTAATTTTTTTCTTTAATAAAAAAATCACTACTAGGAAAAAGATTTACCTCATAACCATGTGCGGCTGAGTTACGAATATGTTCAACCAATTTGGAGATGCGGTTGTTTTTGGCATTCTTTCCATTGACTCTGCTATGACTCCGGTGACCATTTTTTCCCCAGGAAAGTGTGCCAGATGCACTTAGGATTTCCCTATTTACTTCTGGAGTATTTTCATCACCAACTCCATCTGGATCAGTAGAGGGAGAATGTTGAGGAAACTGTGCTTGTTCTACGCCTCTTTTGCATCTTCTTGGCTGGGTTTCTGTCTGTGCATCATCAGAAGATGATCCCTTTCCCCCATCATTATCATCCATACCCTTGTTGTCATGTGATACCTGAAAGTCACCAGCATTTCTAAAGTTTCTTCGACGTTTCAGATTCGAAGTTCGAGAGTTGCCTTGGGATCTCCTCATAAAAGCCACTGATTTTGCTTTGGCATTTCTTTTTTTGCTCAATGCTTCTGATTGCCGTTGTAGTGTTTGGGCAATGGATGCTTGGAACTTGATAAAAAAAAAGATAGAACTCTTGAATAATTAATATCACAAACCAAAGTAAAAAATCTTGCAGATGAAAAATAAAAGTAAACAGTGATCCATAACTTTCTTGATTAATATTAGCCATACTCACACCATAACAAAACTCTGTTCACTGCACACAGTATTCAATTCTTTTGAATATTGAACAAGTTGTCACTGTTGCAAAGTAATGCACAATCACAAATAGAGAAAAACTATGATTTGACTATTTTCCTGATGGATTATATACCGAGGGCTACTGCCATCTGTCAGATTTATAGAGCTGCATATTTAAACAACTGAGGCAAAACTAACACCCCACTGCAAAAATGATATAGCTAGTCTGTATGTATGTCCAAAATACTATTTTTGGCCAATAGGATTAGGATATTGAAGTTACATAAAATGGCGCCCTATTCCCAAAGCATGTGGTGCAACTGAAGCTTTCTAAGCATCTTTAACTGACATAAGTGAAGTGATTCTTGAAGTGAAGAAGTTCCTCATTGCAAAAACAAGAGAGATTTCTGGCTATCAAATTATTAGTTTTCTTTGGTATAATGGCATAATTCACATTTTTTTACTTTCTGTAGTGGGATAGGAAAATCACTTGATTTTTTTCAAACAAGACATCCACCCATGTTTAAAAAATGTTGAGTGATATATTACCTGCTTATGGCGAGCCATCTCATCCTCATGCAAAGCCAATTCCTATGCCAAAACCTTGTTAATGAGTTTTTTGTTCAGATAAAATAATTTTTTTATTCAAGACAAATTATGTATATTTTACCTGTTCCTCATACTTGTCAATATCTGGATACATAACAGCAATCAAGGCATCGTAGCTTGGGTCATCTCTCAATGAGCGTCGGCTAGCACAATGAGTACGACAAGCAGGACATTCATTGTTACTGCAGTAAAACCAGTCCAGAATAATAAAAAATTTACAGCTAATAAACTAATAACATCTCAACTACAAATATGTAAAAAGATAAAGTGGATGGTGGCAGTTAGAGGAAAAACCCAAGGCGCATGGATTTGTCTATGCACTCTCTGCAAAAGCGATGAAGGCATTCCATAACGGTTCTTGTTTTTCGAATGATGCCTACACGTATAATGAAATCAATCATCTGTTAGTATACTACCTGACCATTATAAACCATAAAAAATTATGATGCAGCATCTGACTTATCTTAGTATACTACCACAAATTTATATATAGATATATGTACCATATGGGAATGAATTGAGTTACTTAAAATTACAATTACAGTACACAATTTCCATCACTTCAAGAAAGTTGTAAATCTCATGTAGGACTTATACAGAAGTTGTGAATATTAAAAATAAATTCATTGCTCGCTATGCAGAAGTATGTACAATTACAACATTAGCCCTACTGCTACGGTGCTACCCCTTATTGTTACTGACTATATCACTCACTCATCCATCTTGCTCTCCTATTATCATCTCTCACCATCACTAACTTCTAATGCTACCTCTAAACCAACATTGAGTATTTTTTTCCATTCAAATTCAAAAGGATATAGAAGTGGTGATTTAATTCCGTTCTTGACTTCCTGTGTACAGTAAACTCGAAAAAATGGTGTGTTGTTATATAACCTTAGATTTATACATCGACAGATGTGAAATCTGTCCAACATTTGGATTATTTGGGGGATAAAACAGGCATAGAACCATAGACAATTGTCTATCTGCTAGATAGGTATCACAACTCAAAAGTGTTTATTTTTCAACTTTCTTTGTTTCGTTAAGAGCACTGTAGCACCGACACCTCTGAGAAAAGGTGTGTCATATCGGTGTAGGTGTCTGAAACTGACACAGACACTTGCGGTTACGTTAGTTTATTCAGTTTTTCAAATTATTATCAATGTCGACGTATCAGTGTCGGTGTCGTGTTTCTGGTGCCCCTGCTTCATAGGTTAAGAGTTAAAGAGCCATTTAATCTAATGCTACATGAGTCGTGTATTCTAAGAAATTAGAACATTATATATAGGTGATAG